ATTTTTGTATTTTTTTAAGAGTCAGGGTTTCGCCATGTTAGCCAGGCTGGTCTGGAACTCCTGACCTCAGGTGATCCATCCACCTTGGCCTCCCAAAGTGCTGGGATTACAGGTGTGAGCCACTGTGCCACCCAATTTTTTTTTTAATAGCCATCCTGCTGGGTATGAAGTGGTATCTTATGGCTTTGATTTGCATTTCTCTAATAATTAGTGATATTCAATATATTTTTATGTGTTAATTGGTCACTTGTGTATCTTCTTTAGAGAAATCTGTTCAAGTCTTTTGCCTATTTTGAAGTGGATTGTTTTGTTGGGTTTTGGTTCTTTATATATTCTGGAAAGTAATCACTTAGAGGTGATATGTAAATATGTTTTCCTATTCTGTGGGCTGACTTTTTAATCTGTTGATATTGTCATTTGATGCACAAAAGTTTTAAATTTGGATGAAGTCCAGTTTGTCTGCTTTTTCTTTTGTTGCCTATGCTCTTGGTGCTATATCCAAGAAATCATTGCCAAGTCCAATATCATGAAGCTTGTCCCCTATGTTTTATCCTAAGACTTTTATAGTATTAACTCTTAGGTTTAGGTCTTTGATCCATTTTGAGTTAGTTTTTGTATATGGTGTGAGGTAAGGGTTATCTAAGTTCATTCTTCTACATGTAGGTATCTGTTTTTTCCAGCACCATTTGTTCAAGAGTCTGTTTTTCCCCACTGAAGGGTCTTGGCACCCTTGTTGAAAACCACGTGACTATATATGAGGGTTTATTTTCCAGCTGAATTTAGTCTTTGCATCAGTCCTTCGAATGTGATGGTCAGCCCTCTCCTTCCTCACGCTAGGCCCTGTGCTGGGAGCTGTGTGTACTCCCTCTGTCCCCTTTCTCAGCCCCCAGGAGGTAGGTGCTTTTACTTCCCCCAGTTTGTGGATGAGAAAACGAGGCCTGGGGAGACAAGTTTATTACCCTAGGGCCACATCAGAGAGGTGGGGCTGGGGTATAAGCCAGGCAGTGGACCTCAGAGCCTGTGTTCCACAGTTACATCATGTGACCTGAAGATACCTCTATATACCCCATCCTCACCTACCCCCAGATCATCTAGACCAGCGTCCTTTGCAATTAGTTCAGCATGTATTGATCCTACAGTCCGTTGGGGAGAAGGGAATATACAATAGAGCATGAAGATGCCCAGAGCAGACACTGGTTCTAAGGGCCAAGAGTGCCACTGAGGGAGCCTGGGAGGGCTTCCTGGAGGAGCCAGCATTTGAGTGCCCTTGGGGAAGATGAGTGTGTATGCATGGTGAGGAGGGGAGTGTGCAGAGGGGTCAGGTGTGCAAAGGAGGGATTCTGGGAAGGGCAGGAACTATGTAAGGCTGTGATTTGTCAGAAGGGAAGCAGGTAGGACTGAAGGGTGGGGGCCCAGACTGTGAAGGCCCTGGAGGGTTGCGTTATGTGTTTGACCTTGATGTGAGGCCAGCAGGGAGGCAGAGGAAGTTGTGATCAGATTCTCAGTTTAGGGGCCCTAGCAGGCAGTTGTGTGGATTGGGGAGTGGAGGGAGGCAGGAGCTGAGTGAGGAGGGGTGCGGGGTGAGCAGGAGCAGCCCAGTCCTCATTGGTAGGTCTTGTGGGCTCCTGGATGTGGGGTGAGGAGGGCACCAGGATGACCTTGAGTTTCTGGGCTTCTGGCTTTGCGGTACTGACAGCCATCGAGATGTGGACTTCAGGAGGGGAACAGCTGCAGCAGAGGCCAGGAGTTGGGTTTCGTGTGAAAAGCTGCAGCCCTCTGTTTGAGGCAGCCCCCAGGGGACACAATTCCCTATGCCCTCCTGGGGGCCTGCCCAGAGCCTGATATTGGGAGTGAGGACTGGGCAGCTCCCTCCTGCTCCCCTGGGCACAGCCTGCACCAGATCTGCCACTAGTTCCTTCTAGACTGTTCCTTTTTCTCCTCCCACTTGGCTGCAACTCCATGCCTGCTAGGGTGCCCAGCCCCGGGTCAAGACTCTGAGAAACACAAGAGTTGGGGAAAGCCCCCTTCCTATTCTTAAGCGGCATCCAGAGAGAGAAGAGGGCGAGTTAGGTGTTCATTCATTCACTGGGCAGCTGTTGCAGGTGCCAGCCACCACTCCAGGTGCTGGCAGAAAGCCCCTCACTTAGTGGGGAGCAGATGTGAAAGTGGAAGCAGATGAGCAGGTGGCTGTTGACCACAGGATGGGGCTTAGCCCACGGGACAGGGCTCTGCGGGAACCTTGCAGGGTGTTGGGGGTGGGTGGTGGAAGGGCTTATGGGTGAGGCTGGAGAGGTAGGCTGGGGCCAGGTGGTGTAGGGGGCCTTGTAGGCCCCAGCTTCTGTGCTGAGTGCAAGGGAGCCATGAAGAGATCAAAGCTTGGGAATTCTACAAACATAGGTTCACATTTATATTTTGGTAAGACCTCTCTGGCCACCAGGGAGAGGGAGGGAAGGGGAGGAGGCAGAGATGCTGGTCAGGGGGCTGCTGCTGTGGAGGCAAAGGGGGATGGAGGTCTGGATCAGGTGCCAGCTGTAGAGAGGTGCAGTGTAGACAGATTTGGAGGGGTATTCAGCACAGGGTGGCTGGGAGGAGCTGGGGGGAAGAGCCAGAGTGACCTAACCAGGCTTCAGTATTCTCCAGCAGTGAAGGGGAGATGATGTCATTTTTTCTTTGTCTTTTCTTATTACTCAGAGATGGGGAGTCTCACTATGTTGGCCATGTTGGTCTTGAACTTCTGGCCTTAAGCAGTCTCCCCACCTTGGCCTCCCAAAGTGCTGGTACTACAGGCATGAGTTACTGCACCTGGCCAGGGTGGGGGGCTATAATCAGATGAGTGGTGTCCAGCTCCGAGGTCTGCGCAGTGCCTGGGGGCTGTGCAGGTCAGGATGAGGGTCGGGAAGCTTATCATACCCCCGACACACCCCTCTGGCCCCAGTATGTGGCAGCTATCTGTTTTATAGATCAAAGTTCTGCATGAGGCTTTGTTTGAGGAAGGGTTTCTACTGCTTAAAAGATAAGCACCGGGCCGGGCGTGGTGGCTCACGCCTGTAATCCCAGCACTTTGGGAGGCCGAGGCGGGTGGATTACCTGAGGCCAGGAGATCAAGACCAGCCTGGCCATCATGGTGAACCCCATCTCTACTAAAAACACAAAAATTAGCCGGGTGCGGTGGCACGCATCTGTAATCCCAGCTACTCGGGAGGCTGAGGCAGGAGAATTGCTTGAATCCAGGAGGCAGAGCTTGCAGTGAGCGGGGACCATGCCATTGCACTCCGGCCTGGGTGACAGGGCGAGACTCCCTCTTGAACAAAAACAAAACAAAATGAAAACAGCACCTTAGGTCAGCTTAACATTGTATGGGTGCATTGGGGGTGGTTTTTGTATAGTAGAATACAAAGCATACGAAATGGCAATTTGGAGTCACAGTCATGCATTTAATGTCTTGAACATCTTAGATGATTTCTCTTCCCACGTTTTTTACTAGAATTATTTCCTAATGAAAACCACTTCTTGATTGTTTCTCTCCTGTGAGAACTGTGTGCACTCTGTGATGTCTTTGGCTGTGACAGTCGAGTTATCCTCCTTTGTTGACGTGCTCTGATGTTGAGAATCTGAACGTGTCGTATGCAGGATATTAAGTTGTGGATTGGTGGGCTTACACCACAGCTTATCAACACTTGAAGATACTGGTACATAACATCCTCGTAAGGAATAACTTGCCTCCAAATTTGAAGCTGGAAAGTTAATGGAATAAGTTCCCAGCACTTTTGGAGGCCGAGGGGGTAGAGTGCTTGAGCCCACGAGTTCAAGATTAGCCAGGGCAACATGGCAAAACCCCATTTCTACTAAAAGTGCAAAAAATTAACCAGGCGTGAAGGCATGGGCCTGCAGTCCCAGCTACTTGGGAGGCTGAGGTGGGAGGATCTCCTGAGGCCAGGAAGTTGAAGCTTCAGTAACCCTGATCACACCACTGCACTCCTGCCTGGATGATAGAGTGAGACTCTGTCTCTGAAAAAAAAAAAAAAANTTGAGCCTAGGAGGTTGAGGCTGCAGTGAGCTGTGGTCATACCACTGCACTCCAGCCTGGGTGACGGAGAGAATGTCTCAAAAAAAAAAAAAAAAAAAGTCAATGGAATAACTAAAAAGGAATCACAATCTATAGCTTTTTAAGATTTTCAGTACAAATTGCAATGTCTGTATACTAATCCTCAACACAACCAATAAATCCCAATTGTGGAGGGAAAAGCAAAGCACTGAGGGAGCCTGACCTCGATGTCCAGAATCCCCCTGTCCTCCCTCAGTCTGAGAACTGAGGGGCGGGCAGGGCTCTGTTGTCAGTGCCTGGGCCTTAGGCCTGATGTGGCCCTTGGCGAAGGCACAAGCCTGGTGCTGGGGCTGTGGGCTCTCACCCGCCCCTGCCAGCTTCCTGTCTGCTCATCCCCCTTCTCTGTCCCCAGGTAGTAATGAAGGTGGTGCAGCTGCTGCCTGACGGGCACCGTGTGAAGAAAGAGGTGGATGCGGCGCTGGACACAGTCAGTGAGACCATGACGCCCATGCACTACCACCTGCGGGAAATCATCATCTGCACCTACCGCCAGGTGAGGCCCCTCGCTACCCTTCCAGGTGTGCACGGCCCAGAGAATGGCTGATATGGCTTTGGGGTTGCTAGGGGTCCTGTGGACCCCTCCTTGACTCTCAGTCACTTTTTCACCTCTGGAAGTGAAACTGATCCGTGAAATAGCCACATCCCCAGTCCCAAAGCACTTATACCAGATTCTGGAGTGGTAGGGGGATGTGTGCAGGGGCCATGTTCAAAGCATTCAGCCACTGCTGTAGCCCTGGGGCCAGTCAAGGATGTGGCCAATCAGAGTGAACACCCAGGACCCCTGTGGTGCCAGGCGTTCACCCTCTGGTTTCTGGGTCCTGGACAGGAGTCAGGTGGTGGGTGGGTGGGGACCTGCAGGGACTTGGGGTGGCTATTTAACAACTAGCATGGCGGCTGTGGGCTCAGGATGTGTATGTCTGTGCGGCCCTGGGGCTGGCTCCCAGATGGGTTTTATTTTTTTGGTCTGCTCAGTAAACATTATTTTTAAATAACTCATTATATTATAAAAATAAAGTTTCGGCCAGGTGCAATGGCTCACGCCTATAATCTCAGCAATTTGGGAGGCTGAGGGGGGCAGATCACCTGGGATCAGGAGTTGGAGACCATCCTGGCCCACATGGTGAAACTCCATCTCTATTAAAATACAAAATTTAGCCAGGTGTGGTGGTGGGTGCCTGTAATCTCAGCTACTCAGAAGGCTGAGACAGGAGAATCTCTTGAACTCGGGAGGTAGAGGTTGCAGTGAGCCAAGATCGTGCGATTGCATTCCAGCCTGGGTGACAGTGAGACTCAAAAAAAAGTTTCATGATAGTCCAGAATTCATTTAAAAATCTGGACGTTCAGCCTATCTGGAAAGAATGTGCCCTCAAGCCTGCCAGGGTCCCCAGTACTCCCTGTTCTGTTGCACTTGGCCCTGCAGGCCTGGTCCCGTGACCACAGGCTGGTGTGGGCGCTGGGGTTTTCCACCTGGGTCTCAGTGTGGAGCACTCAGTTCTGTTCCGCTCTGGCCCCGTGAATCTCATTGGCTGCTGGGACAGAGGCAGGTGCTCAGTGGGAGGGGCAGCAGTGGGAGCCAGTGGGTAGGGGGTAAGGACTCCCTGGTGCTGAGACGGGGCTGTATGGGCCAGCCATGTGTTCCCTACTGTTGGCCAGCAATTCTCAGAAACAGCTCTTGCCTGTGGCCCCAGCAGAGGGGCCTGCCCCAAGCTCAGCCCTATGCTCAGCTGTAGCTATGCACGCATTGTGGAAATGACTGATTGGGCCCAGCTTTTGCTCGGGGTCATGGATCAGGCCCTGATTGGGGCACAGGGAGGATGCCTGGCTGGAAGGCAGAGCAAGTCATCTGGCATCAATCTGGGTCCAAGATCAGAGGTAAATTGGGAGGAGAGTGTGGAGAGATTAAGCGGCTGCTAGGCCAGGTGCAGTGGCTCATACTATAATCCCTAGGTTTGGGAAACCTAGGAAGGAGGATCACTTGAGGTTAGGAGTTTGAGACCTGCCTGGGCAACACAGCAAGACCCTGTCTCTTAAAAAAAAAAAAAATCAGCTGGGCATGGTGGTGGCTTGTGGTCCCAGCTACGTGGGAGACTGAGGTAGGAGGACTGCTTGAGCCTAGGAGGTTGAGGCTGCAGTGAGCTGTGGTCATACCACTGCACTCCAGCCTGGGTGACGGAGAGAATGTCTCAAAAAAAAAAAAAAAGCTGTTAAATGTGGGAAGGGGAAGGTGGTTAAGGAGTTTCAGAAGATCTGTTTTCTTCAGGGCCACAGTTAGATTGGATCCTGAGTCTCCTTCTGAGTTACCTTTGGGTCCCACTCACTATGGTCTCTTGGCAGCGATGAACTAAGAAGCTGACCTCCTCCCACTTTCAGGGGATGCTGAGAGGGCTGTGAACCGAAGCTTCCAGTTCCGTCTGAGCTGGAGGCCCAATAGTTGGAAAAGGATGCCTGCTTCAGAGCACCTTAAACCCTCCACCCCATGCTGGCCAGGCTCTGTTAGAGAGCTCCCTACCTCCCTGATTCCCAAAGCTGATAGGCCCCCTTCCTCTGAGCTGCACAGCCCAGGATGTCCATCGCGAGGCACGCAGAGGGTGGAGCAGGAAGCGTGACGGCCTGAGCCATGGGGAGAGAGGGCTTCCCCAGAGCTGGCTGGGAGCAGTGCCCTCAGAGAGAGCCCAGGAAGCCACGTCCCGTGGAGGGGCTGCATGGCAAAGGCCAAGGGCCCAAAGGTGCAAAACGAGTTTAAAGGCAGCAAAGCTGGTTTGGTGCCTACATCTCACGACATAGAAGCTGTTGGAGATGAGTTGGTATGGGCGAGCTGCGTTCCTCCTTGGACGTTGGAGAGGGAAGGGCGGTTGGGGATGTTGGGGGTGATTGCTTTACTCTGTTGGCATTGGAGAAGGGAGGCGGCTGCGGCTGTTAGAGGTGGTCACTCGCGCTGCCTTCTGGACGTGGAGTGTTTTTTAACGAGGAGGGAGGAAGTAGAGCCAGCCGAGGAGTCTCACCCGCTCCCACCAGGTCACCCACCCCCATTCCAAAGGCCAGGTTGGTGGTGACCTCTGCGGTGGGAGGATGGGGATCCCTGAGCCCACCCCCAGGCCCCTTTGGAGAGTCCAGAGGCAAGATGTAGAGTCATTCCCCGGTATGGACACTAGGTGGCGCCAGTGAGCCACCTGGTCAAATTCTTAGAGGCACTGAAGCTCAGAGGGCTGAGACATGCTCTGGTTCGGGAGCTCTCACCCTGCATGTCTAAGAGAGCAGTCTGAGAGCCTTAAACCATGCTGTGCCTGAGCTGTATCCCTAGAGAGTCTGATTTAGTTGGTGGGGGTGTCTTGGCAAGGGCACGGGTCTTGTTTTTGAAGGCTCCCAGGTGATTCCAATGCACAGCCACAGCTGAGAGCCACATATTCTAAGCAGTGGCTCCCAGCTCTAGTGGGCTTCAGAGTCACCTAGTGGACTTGTTGAAATGCAGACTGCTGGGCCCCCCTCTGGAGCTTCTGATTCCTTAAGTCTGGAGGTCTGACACGCTCCCAGATGATACTGATGCTGGTGGGGACCACACTGGGGGATCTGCCACCCCCCTACAAACCCCATTACAACAGCTTTATTGACATACATGTGCCATGCAATTCACTTATTTGTGGTGCACACGTCCGTGGCTTTCAGTACATTTACAGAGTTGTGCATCCAGCACCACATCAAGTTTAGAACATTTTTCATCACCCTAAAAAGAAACCTCATACCTGCTAGCAATTGCTTCCCCTCCCCCAGCCTCTGGCAGCTGCCAATCTTTCTGTCTCTACGGATTTGCCTGGTCTGGCCATTTCATATAAATGAAATAATACACTTTGTGGTCCTTTGTGTCTGCCTTCTTTCACTTAGTGTCATGTTTGAAGGTTTATGCATGTTGGAGCATGCGTTATTCATTTTTATGGCTGAATAATATTCTGTTGTGTAGACATATCCCTTGATGTCTGTCCATTCCTCAGCTGATGGACATTTGGGTTGTTGTAGAACTTTTTGGCTATTATGAACAATGTTGCTGTGAACATTCATGAACAAGTTTTTGTGTGAACATATGTTTTCCTTTCTCTCGGTTATTTACTTAGGAGTGGAATCGCCAGATAATATGGTAATTCTGTGTTTAACCTTTTCAGGTTAATCACCATGAGTTGGTGGCTGAGTGGGGATGAGAGTCTTCACTCCCAGCCCACGTTCCTCCCCGGACTATGCTGTCCTTGACCCAAGGATCTCATCCATGTTGCCCTAGTGGGCTGTGGGGAGATTGCGGAGGCTCTAGAAAGGCAGCAGCGGCCGCCACCACCCCTGTCCTCTAATGGTGACTCCTGGAAATTGACAGCCAGGTCTCACCTGTGGTATCAGCTGTTTATTTAAACTTCCACCATCTGGTTTCAAACCAGAAGTTCCCAGGTGGCCTCCAGCAGGTCTGTGGTTCTCTGCTCAGAGCAGGTGGGGTGCTGTGCATTCAGGGACTGCCATCAGCCTGGCCAGATCCCCCAGAGCTCTGGATGAGCTCAGGCTTGGGCGGGGCTTTATGCCTTCCATTGGCTCAGTTTGCCCGGGAATGTTCCAGGTCTGGTCCACATTTGGCCCATCTGAAGTTTTCCTCCCGAGAGTCCACTTGGGATTCTGAAATTCAGCAGCATGTGTCTACTTGGCTTCCTGCCCCTCACTCCCCAGAGCCCCAGATGGTGAATTTCCTTTTCCTGGCCCCCTGCCAGCTGCAGCAGTCAACTTACACTTTAATAATAAGCAGTTAAGAACACAGCTCCTGTGATTTGGCATTTGTGCTTCTTCAGCAATAAAGCTATTCCAGGGCCCTCTGTGGGGAACAGTGGAAGGATTTGGAGGTCAATTTCCTGTTGTGGATCAGAGGAGGAGGGCTCAGAATGTGCATGAATCTTCATCTGCGCCCTGAGGTTGCACAGCAGGAATAAGGACAGTACCAAATGCTTAGATCGTCCAGGGAGAGCAAAGAATCTCCCAAAATCCTGCCAACTCAGCGATGATTTTACTTTTGGCTTTTTCTTTCTGGGCTTTGTGCATTTGCATGCAGGCTCTCTCAGAGCTGTGATCGCAGCAGGCCCACAAGATGTCTCTCACTGCTCACCTAGGCTGTGTTTGTGCATTTCAACATGTGCCCAGCCAGCACGTGCCGCCTCAGTGCTGGGCCCTGCGTGGGCACTGGGGGGGACTGGTGATGAAAGGTACGTGGAGCTGACGTTCTCGTAGGGCAGAGAGAGGGAAAATTAAGCAATAGCTGTGGCTCATGGGCATTTTTTTGTGTTTGCCAAGGAACCGTTACATCATCACATTCCGCATTCACATACCACGCGGTGAGTGGAAGTACCGTTTCCCATGCTGTTCTGTATGTGGCACCCGTGGCCCTTCATGTTCTCTCCTGTCGTCCTCTGGGATGAGGGTGATGTGGACCTTGTAGTGCATATGGCTCTTCCATTTGTGTGGATTATTTCT